TCTCTTTCATTCAAAAAAAAAAAAAAAAAAAAAAGGAGAGAGAGAGAAAGCTATGTAAAAAAATAAAAATAAAAATAGAATACGAAAGCTACCCATTTTCCTGCTTCCGCCGTTGCGCGTATTAGATAACACCGGTTTCGCGCGTGTTGCTCCTAGCAGAATCGTCCAGCCGTATTCGCCAGTGGCACTGGGTAATATAATCAGAGCTTTCTTATAAGAGAGGCGCCGCCTTCATCCTCAAAACAGGGCAGAATCTCATCAAAAGTTACAATCTTTATACCAATATTGACGCAAATTCTTGTTCGAAACTCGCCGTTCTTGTTTCTGGTATCTGGGTTTGTCTAAAATGTTGTTTTAGCATAAGATGATTTCTGCGTTTATCCTCTTTTTCTGATTCATCAATCCTTTGCAGGTGAGAACCGATTCATTCCCGTACTGGGTTTTGTGGGTTTTTGGTTTATATTGCTGCAAAGGTTTAAGTGTTGGTGCTCTATCTAGGGGAGTAGTCATCTGCTCTGCTGAATTATTTTTTGGGATTCTGTGTATTTTATTTCTCAACCCGTGGCACGCCGGTTAAACTAGTTTTTTTAATCTATTCTAGCTATGTAATAGCCTTTGGACTCTAAAATCAGGCGCCTTGATCGGTTACGGTTGTGTATTTGTATACAAGGAAGAGTTATGGTTGTTCTGTTAGATGCACATGAATTTGGATTATGGAATCTGGAGGTCATTATAATGTCTAATAAGGGTTGCTTTTCCATGTAGTGTAGTTTGAGATAATAAGAATTGGAGAACTGAGAAACTGGGATAGATTCTCTGGTCTGGATTGTGAATTGGATTTTTGGATGTGGAAATTGTTGTTCTTGGGAATGATTTGGTAACATAAGATAGACAGCGTATATCAAGTTCAATCAAGGTTCTTTTGGTGGTCATTAGAGGTTTGGGATTTGGTTTTTTGAGAAGGAAAAGATGCAAAGGGTTCGATTATCATCCCAACAGGCTCCTGTACATAAGCTAGGGGATTCTCAGATGACATTATCACCAAAGTTTAGGTTAGCTGCGATTCAATCCTCCTTGTTAAATCCTTCATCAGAGTTTGAGTCATCTCTCAGAGATGAACCCCTTATTCCGGGCCTTCCAGATGATGTTGCACTTAACTGTCTCCTTCGGCTTCCGGTTCAGAGTCATTCAGCTTGTAGAGTTGTATGCAAACGATGGCATCTGCTGCTTGGTAACAAAGAGCGCTTTTTTACTCGAAGGAAGGAAATGGGTTTCAAAGACCCTTGGCTCTTTGTATTTGCCTTCCACAAGTGTACAGGAAAGATTCAATGGCAGGTTCTTGACCTCATCCACTTCTCTTGGCATACCATCCCAGCAATGCCTTGCAAAGATAAGGTCTGCCCTCATGGGTTCAGGTGTGTTTCAATTCCCCTCGAGGGTACTCTCTTTGTCTGCGGGGGTATGGTCTCTGATGTGGATTGCCCTCTTGACCTAGTGTTGAAGTATGAGATGCAAAAAAACAGATGGTCTGTAATGAATCAAATGATTACAGCTCGGTCATTTTTTGCAAGTGGGGTGATTGATGGGCTGATATATGTGGCTGGGGGAAACAGTGCAAATCTTTATGAGCTCGACTCTGCTGAGGTTTTGGACCCTTTGAAAGGGAGTTGGCAGCCTATCGCTAGCATGGGAACCAATATGGCGTCTTATGATGCAGCAGTTCTTGATGGAAAGCTTCTGGTGACAGAAGGCTGGTTGTGGCCATTCTTTGTCTCTCCCCGAGGTCAGGTTTATGATCCAAGAACTGATAACTGGGAGAGTATGGCAGTTGGATTGAGAGAGGGCTGGACAGGGTCAAGTGTGGTGGTCTATGGACACTTGTTTGTGGTTTCTGAGCTTGAAAGGATGAAGCTTAAGGTTTATGACACAGAGAGTGATGAGTGGTACACAATAGAGGGCCCTCCATTACCTGAGCAGATATGCAAACCTTTTGCTGTTAGTTCATGTGATAACAAAATTTATGTTGTTGGCCGTAATCTACATGTTGCTGTAGGACATATATCAAGGCTGAACCAAAAAGATACTCACAAAGAAAAGTGGAGTTTCAGTGTTTGGTGGCATGTCATAGATGCTCCAGAAAGTTTCTCTGACTTGACACCCTCAAGTTCTCAGGTTCTCTTTGCTTAACTTTCAAAAATTATCTCATATTGTTCTTGTATGTTGCTTGAATAAGTTGTAATTATACAAAATTACTAAAGATGTAGAGTTGTAACCAATGTGTGCTATTGGAACAAATGTAACCCTTTTATACAGTCGTTCAGTCTTTGTTCTCTTTCATGTATCTCTTATAGTAACTGTTCAATGTATGTTCATGAGCTCAATCAAGTGTAAGATGGTTTTTCTGATGATATTCTGACAACTGTTCTATAGGCAATAGGATTTGCATGGTTGTGCCACCGTAACTATGCAAGTGGAAAATATTGAACTAGATTCTTGATTCTTGAAGGATCTAAGTTAAACTAGATTTGCCACTGCAGGCCTTGATAATGATGTGCAGAAAATAAGATGTTGGAATGTTCTGAAATTATGTTTGCCTGCTTGATTGAAGTGTATGTACCATTCAATTGCTTCTGGAACCTTGGCTTGGCATATTTGATAATTCCATTCAGAGCTTCAAATGTAACCTTGGAGCTAGATTATAGGATCATGACAGATTTCAGATTCAGGTTCACTTCTCTAAGAGTCTTGGAGATTATTATTATTATTATTATTATTATTATTTGGCTATAGTTAAAGTGTTACATGTTAGTTTTTACATATTTAAAAATTAATTTTTTAAAAATAATTTTAAAAATATATTTTTACATTAGAATTAATATTTTTAGTTGTTATTTTTAAATTTTAAATTTTAAATATTAAAATTAATTTACAAAATGATAATTGCTTATCTATAAATCCAAATCCTTTGGTTTCGCAAGGGAAAGGAGATTATTACCGAACACTTAACGTGCCATCAAGCAAGAAATAACTTAAAGTTTAAGAAAAGAATATCTTTCATTTTAAGTCTAGCAAAGTTGATGCATCAGTGTAAAGCCTTTTAACATAGCCACATATTTTGGACCATAAATAATGACAGCAATTCCAACTTTGACTGATTCAGAGAAAAGATAGATCTCCTTGCCTTGTTTTGAATTAGGCAAACACTTACAACACTTTATCTTAATAAACTTATATATTTTACTCTCTCACTTTACATTATAATATTTTTAACTGTTTATTTTAATAAGTTTATAAGTTTTAACAATTTATCTTATATTATGTCACTTTTAACCCTTCATTTATACGAATTGAAGAAAATAATTCAAACATTAACATCAGGTTATGAGAATCTGTTAGTTTTATTAATTGACTATTAGTTTTGTTAGTTGATTATTAGCATCTGTTAGCATTTCATTATAAAAAAAATATGAAATTTAAATTTAATTTTATTTATTAGTTTTGTTAATGAAATATTAATAATCAATTAACAAAACTAATAGAACATTATAAACTGATTTTAAGTAAATGTTATTTTTTTCAATTTGTATAGGTGATGGGTTAAAAGTATCATAATATAAGATGAAAGATTAAAACTTACAAACGTATTAAGGTAAATAATTGAAAGTGTCATAATATAAGATGAGAGGGTAAAACTTACAAATTTATTAAGATAAAGGAGAAAAGTATGTTTTAGCTTATACTATTTCCTTTTATGATGACTGAAATAAAAAACTCAAATTTTGATAAATATATATATATATATATCTTTCTAATAAGAAGTACAAGTACAAAAAGAAAATAATGTATTGCTAGAAAAATATATATATCTACCAATAAAAATTTAGTCAAAATTAATTGAATTTTATTCATTTTAAAAGCCTTGATTTGAGGTGGAAACTAAAAATTCAGACTTCTACTATGAACATGTTTAAGAAAAAAACAAAAACTTGAACTGTTTGCAGCAAGGAAGTTAATTCCACAAAAGATTTTTTTTTTTTTTAAATTTGTGCGCGAAGAAATGCAATTAGTACATTTTTTTACAGTAATTTAAATTGATTAAAAAATAAAAATTGATATTTATTTAATCATCAATTCAATTAATATAATATATATGACATTAGTAGTGAAATTAAAACTAATTTTTATATTTCTGTATACAATTTAATATAAAAATATCATATTAATTACATCATTAATTTATGTCTTTAAAAAACCCTTTTACAAATTATTTATTAGATTTTTTTAGAGTACAAGTTAAGAATATACTAAATACACTTTTGTTTTACAATTCTGACCTTATGGGAATCTGGTTTTCCAGATCTTAATGTGACGTGTTTTTTTATCAATACTATTTCCTTTTTCAAAAAAAAAAAAACACACTTTTTCGTCGTAAATATATATATAAAAAAAAGTAAAAATTGATATTAATTTTAATATAGTTGAATTTAATTATTCAATTTATAAATTAAAAATTGATTTTTATTATTTCAATACAAAATTATGACGAAAAGATGTATTTAATATATCCTTAACTTATATTTTAAAGGTACAAGTTAGACAAATTTTTATTTATTATAACTC